CCAGCATGGCCACAACTCTCATGGCCAAAGTGGGAAAGTTTATATCAAATGGTCCTATCAAGCAGCACTCCTGAATGCACAAGGAATAAACAACAGTCATTGTAGCACCTTCCTGAGAGTGCTGCAGCTTCTCCAGCAGCAGGGCGGTCTCTACCACATGACAATTTCTCATCTCCAACATGCTCAAATCATACTGGACACCAGGGAACTTGTGGCAAGAGACCTCCTGAAACTGTGCTCTGCGGTGCCATAGGGAGTACACCGTTAGACTCACATGTGATCCCAGCCATTCACATGTGTCCTCCTGTACATACTCTGCTCACACATTGTCTCAGACATGAGTGTGGGGGGACAGGCAGTGGACACCAAGAGATTTGCACTTTCCAAAGGCAACAAAGCCCAGACAGTAACATTGGGTGTTTCTCTTTCCTGGTCTTTTGAATCCACACCTCAATTTCAGTCAGCCTTAGTGCAGAATAAGACAAGATTTGCAGCAATAGATAGTCAGGAAAAAAAAAAAAAAAAGATGAAGAGGCCTTTCTAAAGCCTGTGCTGTTAGAAGGGCGGTAGGTATGTCAAACTCTGTATTAACCATCAGAGAATCCACAGAGGATTCTCCAACTGCAAGGAAATGTTTAGCTGGAGAAGGAACCTCTGCAGATACTAGGGAACCATCCATGAAATGTTCTTCAAACTACACACAGTGCCCCCCAGACCTGGCAGCAGAGTTGCCCAAGCTTCCTGTCCACACAGCCTGTGGTGGAAGGGAGAAGCTGAACATGCTGCAGCTGTCTCCTCCACCCCACTCTGGTCACCTTCCCACTCTGCTTTGATGGTCTTCAGCAGCTCTGCTCTTCCCACAGGCTCAGGCAGCATTTCAAGCCTGTACATGTTGACATCGGGCTCTTTGGGATCAAGATCATCTCAACACACACCTGTCCAGCTCTAGAGACTCAGCTGAGGCCACCAAGGTGAGATGCAGCTAAAAGGAGGAATTACCCTCCCCTGTGCACCACCTTAAGTTACAAGAGGTCCCAGTAAAGCTTGCAATATGTCACCTGTGGAAAATAATTTCCTGGGAAATAAACAGCCCCCTACTCACTGCAGCAGCTTCCCGCCAAGGACCAGCCATTTGGTACTGATTAATTAAGCATCACAAATAGTCACACAGTGAAGAGGAGTGCCGACCAGGGGGTTATGGTCTCCATCAGTGAAATGCAGCCAGTAGATTAATTACCTGGGACAGAATGGGGCCGAGACAGAGGGTTGACACAAGAGCTCCCACAAGAAAATGCCCTGGTTATCTGGCGGTCAGGCTTTATCTTTTATCAAGTGGTACCAGTGCAAAAAAATGACAGCAGCCCTCCTGAAGCAGGGGCAGAGGTACTGCAGCTGCAGGTGATAACTGGGGAGAGAAGGGAGGGAGGTATATCCAAAGGCCTGCCCCTCTGCTCCCTGCTTTGCACAGGGCTGCAGAGAGTTTTTGTGCACTGCATTTCACCCTTTGCCCCTTGCATTTGCTCAACCTCTCCAGTCAGAGATGCGTGGCTAGAAATCCCACAAGTGACAACCAAAAAAAAAAACCCCCCCAAAAAAACCCTAGTGCTGACATGGACGTTAAGGGAACGCAATGTGCTGTTGACTCTAGACAAGTCCACTGAGCCAAAGACACAGTGGAAACCTGCAGGCCACAGCCTTGAAAGAGCCAGTGGGCACGGGAGGGGACCACAAAGGAGAACAAGAAGAAAGGGGCTGTTTTTTCAATGCAGACCTGTTTATGAAGTGAGAAACGGTTTCAGGGCAGCTGCTGCAAATTCTTTCACTAGCTTATATTTCCATTTGCTTCCTTTTTAAAGAATTTGTTTTATGAGCACAGCGTTTGTCAGGTCATTAGCTTCTGAGGGCATCTGGTACCAATTGTAGCCCTCTCTCCTCCCCTCCTGTAGTCACCTTCTCCAGACAGTTGCTTTGTTCCCTGCCTGTGCCCCCAGCACACGCACATACACATGCTCCCATCCCCAGCTCCACCTCCCTATGACAGAGCTGCTGTCCTAAACCTCCTTGTGTGCGTGTCTCTGCACATGCATGTGTGAAAGCAGATGAGCTTCTCCTTCCAGCCTTGCTCTTGCCTCCCAGCCCCCTTCCTCACCAGTCATGGACATGTAAGGAGCTGCAGCTGGTGCTGCAGCATCCCTCCTACCATGGTGCTACATCAACACACCACAGCAAGAAAGTCCTTACCCCTGGGCACCTCTGGGCACATGGGGATTATCCAGCCAAGCAACAGCCCACATGTTGGAAAGCAGGGCTAGGCGATGAGTGGTGGGTTCACCAAGCAGCTGTAGGCTACAGGGCAGCTGGGTGGCCACGGCAGGACCCCAAGACACCTAACTTCATCTGCTCATGAAGTTCTGTTGAATTACAGAGCATGCGCTCATTGCAGCGCTGGTTCGGAGGGTGGTGGCACCTCTGGACACATCCAGCCGGGACAAGTGCTTGGCTGGAGCAGCTCTGCTGGTGCTGGTGGAGCAATGGCACATTGCCGAGGCTGCCCCAGACAATCGGGACAATGCTGCTATTAAATAACAAGTAACAAAGCACTGATCCTTTTCAGCACTTCTGGACGCATTTTGGTTTTCCACCAGTTCAGAAACATGGCCACAATGCTGGTATAAAGTAGATCAAGAGATCAGCAAGTTTCTTACTGTATTATTATATATGCAAAATGTTATATAGATTAGTTATACATAAGGGATTGATAATTATAGGTCATAACATCGAAATCTTTCTTTTTGTATACACCACACATATACACTCACGCATACATTCCATATGTGCATACAGATGTATTTTAGAAATAATTAGCTTTCTCTTTGCCCCAAAAGATTACTAACTTATCACCATTTTCTCTGTGACTAACAACACCCCTATCCCACAAATACCCGCTAGGTTTTATTTTGGAAATGATCTGAGACCTATCGACTCAAGTTCTGAGAAGTTGTTCTCATCCTACATGTAGCTTTGAAGTCTGGTGCTGCTATTCCAGACCTGAAGAGGGGCTCGTGTCACTGAAAGCCATCTGATTTTCTCAAATATATCAGTAAGCTAAAAAATATATATATCATCTCTACCTACAAACTTTGCCTTGATCGCTTCCTTTATCATTATCAGCATCATCATGACTACCACTGCAATACTCTGGGCCTTGAGCCTGATGCTGTACAAGTGCAGGAATAAAAAAAGCCATGTGGCCTGGCCCCATCATGATCTACATGCCTTACCGGGGTTTGGGTAACACGATGGAATAAATCATTGCTCCCAGCCGCTGGAACACCCTTACGAAGGCTGGACGAGGAAATGGTATAGTTAGCCCAGTTCTGATCTCAGCATGAAGGAGCTCTTTCTCCTTTTGATGATAAATGAAATTCCTGTATTGCAGCTGCAAACTCCTGACATCCAGCCATTTCTGATTCAGGCCGTATAA